TTTCATGATTTGACGCTTGTTAATGAGATTCTTCATTTCCTGGGAAAGCTTGCCAGTGTCCTGTCTAACTAACCTGCCTCCAACTTTCACTGCACACTCCGTAATGATGCTCATAAAATTATTATTCATTGTATCTAGGCTAAGGTTGGTTTCCTCACTAAGAGCCGAGTACCTATTCTGAAGCGAGACTCTTTTTTCTGTACTTTCCCTTTCAATGCTAGCTCATTGATTGGCTTCTTGCGTATCAGTTTCTTTCATTCCTTCTTCAAGTCTAGGCGAATTCGAGACCGTACCAATCTATGGTCACTGCATCGTACCTTGTCAACCACTTCCACATACTGCACGATGCCTGGGTGTGCACTCATTATGAAGTCCATTTCGTTCTTATTTTCCCCATTAGGGCTCCTCCATGTCCACTTGCGGTTTCCTCGTTTTCGGTAGAAGGTATTCAAAATCCGTAAATTATTGCGCTCTGTAAATTCTACTAGTAGCTCTCCTCTGCCGTTTCTAGTGCCGATGCCATAATCTCCAACTGCCTGGTCTCCAGCCTGCTTATTCCATTAAAATCTCACATCAATAAAGTAAGTATTACTTACTTACCTTACTCATTGCCGATTCCACGTTTTCATAGAAGCTTTCAACTTAAGCGTCATCATGGCTGAATGTAGGCGCGTAAGCCTGTACCACCTTCATCTTGTATCGTTTATTCAGTTTAATTACAATACTTACCACCCTTTCATTATAGCTATAGTATCTCCCTATGTTGCCAGCTTGTTTCTGTGAATTAGGAACCCCACTCCCAGTTCTCTTCTGTCAGCCAAGCCCTGATGCGCAAGGACGTGCCTATTCTGTAGCACCGTATAGGCCCTATTTGTCCCCCTAACCTCACCGAGCCATATTATATCCCATATAACACCCTCTAGCTCTTCGAATAGTACAGCTAGACTTCTCTCACCAGATAAGGTTCTAGCGTTAAACGTTGCCAAGTTCAGGTTCCAATAGCGGCCTCTCCGGGTCCAGAAATTCTTAGCACCCTCTGCTGTGTGGCAGATCTGACCGCCGCCGTGGTCAGTTGCTTCGCAGCTGCTGGGGACTGAGGGCCGTGAGTTATTTGTGGGAGGTAGTGGCCAGATACTGCACGATGGTGGCCAATCCTTATATGGTGAGGGAGTGCGGTCCCGGCTGTGGTTACCGGTGAGGCCGCACCCCAGGCCTCTTAGTGTAGTTCCATCACCATGGGGATTTTTTTATCTGGTTGGGAACTGCGTGGCACCGGGATTTCAGCCACGGACTTTTTGCATGCGAGGCGGGTCCTCAAACCACTACGCCATCGCTGCACCATATAATATTTGTGTACACTATATATTATTTGTTGGTCTTCAGAGCTCCATAACATCAACGCAATTTTGTCGTCAGGAGCGAGCTGACAGGCAGGTCTAGCGTTGGCCGCGCTCTCAAGGTGTCCCCTCAAGCGTTTCCACGAGCGCCACCTTGATGGAGCATGGTCTCCCCTGCGTGCGCGCTTATCAGACTCGTGATTCGAGAGAACACGAACGTGGCTTCGCTCGCTGTCATGGCTGCGTTTATGAAAAGAGCACGCCACTCACACACGTAGAAGTAAGCTTTGCGATAGTGGTTTGTGCTTGCCCAGTGTACACATGTGCGTTTCTTTCATGCGTTTTTCTTTCTGTTTGAACAGTGCGCTTTAAGTGTCGAGCTGTGAAAGCTGTCAGTCCACAGATGTCCTGAGTATGCTCATTTCATGCGCGCTTTCTGCTTGAGGTGCGCGCTGCAAGTTTGGAGCTGCTTGCTGTTGTTCACGTGACTTTGCAATTTGTTGCTGCAGCATTTACTTCTTCACCCTTCTGGGGAAACAATGCGCCATGAACGCTCAGCTACCTCTGTGCAGACATGATTCACTTTCCAGGTACAGATTTCGTGAAAGAGTGATCAGCCATATTTGCTTTCACAGGCCCGAGATTGCTTTATCATAAATCATAGTGCCAATTTCACCGCGTTTTACCTAAACTGAGCTTTTCCGCATGACGCAGCTCTTGATATCTTCAAGAGAATGAAACATTAGGAACTGCTAAAATACTAAGTAGTTATGTGAAAATAAATAACTGAGGTTATATGAAGTTTCAGTTCGCGCTATGATGTACGAAAAAGAGCTTCTGTCCAAGAGAAGTATACTACAGGCCAGGGTGATGACGGAAAAAGTGCTTCTCGCTCCCTTTTTTGTCAAGTGGATACCGCCGATACGAAAATAGTTCTAGGAGACATCTTTGGCCGTCATCTCTCCTACGCACATTGTGTACGCAGAATGTGGCTTTAACAAATAAAGAAATATAGCACTTCACAGTTCTTCTTAGTCATCATTGATCATCATTCAGAAAGTCATTGAAGGTGTGTGCTCAACTCTGTTTAGAGCAGTAACGTTCCAAATACAAATACTTCCTCTTTTAAATCAAGCCATTGCTCTTCTGAATGCCAGTTGCCACACACCCTTTGAGAAATGGCGCCATGGTGAGTCAAGTGGCCTTACCTGCAGTGGCGCGCTGGGCGCATCGGCTGCGGACTCGAGTCATAGCGCAAGATCTATCTCGGACAGTAACAGCAAACAATGGTGCTAATATGGATGACTGCAGAGCTGTCTACTTCGTTGAGTCTTGAGATGTGCCGTTGCGAACGCCCACAAAAGAGTGTCTAGTCAAGCCAATCTACTTTTCGGTAGACGTTTTACGCTTGCATCAATTCTTTATTTTGAGTGGCGTTTTCGAAAAAGGAATGTCACTGGAGGTGCAGTGAGGTTCCTTCTTCCATGAAATATTTTTTATCTAAATAACTAGTTAGGCGCTTGCTATAGTAAAACATACTTACAAATCGGGAGTTATAGTTCATTTTCATGCATCTGCAATGTTTTCAAGCCTACAGACTTGCGAAGTATTGGCTCCGCGGATATATATATATATACATGATTGAATGATATGTGGGGTTTAACATCCCAAAACCACCATATGATTATGAGAGACGCCGTAGTGGAGGGCTCCGGAAATTTTGACCACCAGGGGTTCTTTAACGTGCACCCAAATCTGAGCACACGGGCCTACAACATTCCCGCCTCCATCGGAAATGCAGCCGCTGCCGCCTGGATTTGAACCCGCGCACTGCAGGTCAGCAGCCGAGTACCTTAGCCACTAGACCACCGCGGCGGGGCAAATATTCATATATATATATATATATATATATATATAGTTATATATATATATATATAGTTATATTATTGTGTTAAAACACGGAAAAACGAGCCCTTAGGCATACACTTCTTTCCCTTATTTCATTGAACGAGGGTCTCGTAATACCAGACTTGGTGTGTTTAGGTTGTATAAGAGGGACAATTAATCAGCTGCCCGCTCATAATAAGTTCACGTGCTACGTGACGCCAAACATACGCATAAGAGTATTTTCACACTCGTTGTTTGGCTTATAGATGGCGCTGACTGTCGCTCCTAGTTCTAAATTCACATATAGGCCCAAAAAGTAGATGGAGGGAAGGCCGCTGTGGTAGCTCAGTGGTTAGAGCATCGAACGCGTTATTCGAAGGTCGTAGGTTCGATTCCTGCGCACGGTTGGTTATTTATTCATCCACTTTTCTTTCTTCCTATTTACATTCCATTGGTTCCAATTACTTCGCCTGTACATTCCTTGGCATTACTGTCTGTTAGATCTCATTAATATTGTGTTAAAACACGGAAAAACGAGCCCTTAGGTATACACTTCTTTCCCCTATTTCATTGAAGGAGGGTCTCGTAATGGCAGACTTGGTGTGTTTAGGTTGTATAAGAGGGACAATTATTCAGCTGCCCGCTCATAATAAGTTCACGTGCTACGTGACGCCAAACATACGCATAAGAGTGTTTTCACACTCGTTGTTTGGCTTATAGATGACGCTGACTGTCGCTCCTACTTCTAAATTCACATATAAGTCCAAAAAAGTGGATGGAGGGAAGGCCGCTGTGGTAGCTCAGTGGTTAGAGCATCGAACGCGTTATTCGAAGGCCGTAAGTTCGATTTATGCCCACGGTTGGTTATTTATTCATCCACTTTTCTTTGTTCTTATTTACATTCCATTGGTTCTAATAACTTCCTCTGTACATTCCTTGGCATTACTGTCTGTTAGATCTCATTAATATTGTGTTAAAACACGGAAAAACGAGCCCTTAGGTATACACTTCTTTCCCTTATTTCATTGAACGAGGGTCTCGTAATGGCAGACTTGGTGTGTTTAGGTTGTATAAGAGGGACAATTAATCAGCTGACCGCTCATAATAATCATATACTTAGAAATTTTGGCGCAACCTCGACTCACGCAAACACTCACACAAGCACACACACTTACACCAGAGCAACACACACGACACGCAGCGCTCGTGTGTGTTGCTCTGGTGTAAGTGTGTGTGCTTGTGTGAGTGTTTGCGTGAGTCGAGGTTGCGCCAAATTTTCTAAGTATATGATGTATAACCAACTAGCCCAACAACAAGTTTTATTACGCTCATAATAAGTTCACGTGCTACGTGACGCCAAATATACGCATAAGACTGTTTTCACACTCGTTGTTTGGCTTATAGATGGCGCTGACTGTCGCTCCTACTTCTAAATTCACATATAAGCCCAAAAAAGTGGATGGAGGGAAGGCCGCTGTGGTAGCTCAGTGGTTAGAGCATCGAACGCGTTATTAGAAGGTCATAGGTTCGATTCCTGCCCACGGTTGGTTATTTATTCATCCACTTTTCTTTCTTCTTATTTACATACCATTGGTTCTAATAACTTCCCCTGTACATTCCTTGGCATTACTGCCTGTTAGATCTCATTGATATTGTGTTAAAACAATGAAAAACGAGCCCTTAGGTATACACTTCTTTCCCTTATATATATATATATATATATATATATATATATATATATATATATATATATATATTTGCAGCACAGACACTTACTCCATTCTCCAGTGGGAGGTGTTTCCACAGGACAGCATACTTTGTTGCCCCTTCCACAGCGGGACCTGGGTATTTCATCAGCTCCGTTGAGCTGGTACACACAGTGGCTCAATGGCTCACATGTTCCGGCCTCTCCTTTGGCTGTTTGACATTCAGAGCTTTGGGAGTCTTCCGAGCTGTTGTCATTTTGAGGACCCCTGCCACGTCCTCGGAACTGTCCTCGGCCAACTATATCTCCTAGGCCTCGACCTGGACCACGGCCTCTGCCTGCACGCAACAATGTCACATTGGGCAACGAAGATTCTCAGCTTTTTTCAACTCCATAGAAATGAAGGCATCTTGGACAGCCATATAAGAGAACTACCAACGTGTCATTGGGGTTCACGCAACTTTGATGTGCCACAAAAAACGCTGTTTTGTATCACCGATTATGGCGCGGTAGTCATGCCTTTTCATACATTCCAGATTTTTTTATGTATTTCTCGATGTGATAGTGAGAATTTCAACAGGCAATTTGATGTGATCTATCGCGAAAAACATGGAGAAAAAAATATTCAACACTTCATACCCAAGGGCGCATCTCCCAATACGTAACAAAATTTTGCTGTTGATTATGCTAAACGCTTAGCTGGAATAAATTTGCGTTACAGGACCAGCCTAATTTAACTGTTTAGTTTTGTTTTTGAACAGTATTTGTTGTAGTTTTACTTCCGAAAACCAATATTTAAAGAACGCCGTAAGGAAGCTTAAGGCCTTCTAAAGGTGTTCGCCTCCCGCGTGTTCACTTGTTAACCTGAATTAAATGGACCATTATCATAAGTATTGGGATTAGCCCAATTTTCATGCCGCTATAAATCAGAGCTGTTACGGTCGAGGTTTGTCAACACACATAGAAGAAGAGAGATGAAAGACAATCACTAAAAAAGAAAAACGACAAAGAAAAAAATTGCTGCCCGAGCACTCCGTACAAATGGTTAACTACTGAAAGCTAAACTTCTGGCCCCGGTGTTTAGCATTCGGTTCAACCCAACGTTGCACTGAAGCATTTCACAAGTATTGGTTTTATATTCATTTTTCTTAATGTTGTTAGAGACACGTTTACCTTCAGTTCACCACAGTGTTTGTTTCGCGCGCTGTACATTGTGACTGTCACAATTACGTCATGGAGAAGTGTAAAAAATGGTTAATTGAGTTTCACAATGCATTAACTGCGGTGATTGTTGTCCAACCACAGGCGATCACGAACGTTGCAGCCGAAGCCAAAGTTCCGCTGGATAAACTGACGCCGAAAGCGAGCTTTCGCCCCAATGAACATGCTCCACAACATTCACCGTCGTGCCTGCAACTCCACTTGTTCAGTGCCCCAGTGTTGAAAGCTTTTGATATTGCGAGCTAACTCGGTGGTGTTATTTGCAGGATCCGCCCACCACCGGCGCTTGCAGTGCCGTTTGCGATTTCTTACGACTTGGAAGACTGCCAGATCATCGGTACGCAATTGCTGCTGGCTCTCGTCCTTTCAGACCTGTGTATATGCCCGGACAGCACCATTGGCCAGCGGATGTGAGCTCTCGCATGTTTCCTGTGTTGGCGCTCTTTTAGAGTTGCCCGTGGCTTACCTATGTAAAAGCTCTGCGTTGAATCTGATGCGCGCGTGCTCGCCGCTATGGCTGTGACAAGATAGACGACATCACGAACAAGGAAGCCAGCAACGCACGTGCTTGGGTATGACTCTGAAAATGACGTTATTGGTAGGACAGCCAATGGAGACTGCTCGTGACCCAGATTCCGAATGTTTTTTGTTCATCTAGTCATATACAGCTTTCTATGTAAAAAAGACACTATGGCAAGTGGTGGAAACGAGAGGGTGCCTGCCTGTTCTGGTGATTAGGACCCAGCGTCGGTTGACTTAGTGCAAGCTGTCCCGTTTTTATATATAGTATATCCCACTTCTGTGCTTTCATCTGTTGATGTTTCTCCATTCTGTGTCCATCGCTGTTTGTTCTAGTCCGAAGTTCATCCCTGTAATTTATGTGCATGAAACCTACAGAGCCGGCTAAAGCACTTGACTGCTAAGCAGAACGTTGCGGCATTAATTGGCAGCCGTGGCAGCAGCAGTTTGATAGGTGCGAAATGCTAGAGGCTTGTGTGCTTAGATTTAGGTGCAGGTTAAAAAACACTATTGTCAAAATTATGGGTGCCCTCCACTATGGCGTCTCTTGTAATCATAACCTGCTTTTGGGGCGTAAAGGTCCATAATGTATCTGTTAAACGTATACGACACACAAATGTTAACATCATGGAAAAACATGAAATCAGGTTGGTTTATATTTCTTACAAGGAAGTGCTGCCGAAACAGCAAGGTCTGCGTTACCGTTAGAAGCTCGGATGTTTAGTGAAGAATTCTAACTCAATAACTTTGGTCCTGCTCGGAACTTCAATGTATGCGCACTAACAATATATAGCAAATTTTAATAATGGCTACGGAATCAAAATTCTAGCCTGTTTAGGACGCCAAACAGAAATTCTGCTTCATCATTTAACCTTTCAATCTTATCTCTCACAGCAACGTTATTCGTTAAACATGGGAGAGGGGTTGGGGTCATCGAATCAAGTCTACCTCCATTTCTTGAACTGACAAGGAGTTGCCACCCAGGGCAGCTTTAGTCAGCTGCTTGTGCAAATGACAGGTAATCAATACTTTTGAAACAAGAAGACCTTGGTGGAAATGTCCATGCAAGACAAGTGTCATGCCAGCCCATGCTTCATCAGCACGTTTTACTTTTGCTGTCTATACGTCTACTATGCGGTACTCTTGTTGTAAAGAAAATAAACAAGAATAAGCGATGTAAGACTGTCATAGCATTCATACGACATGCATGCAGTTTAAAGTGGTCATGTTGACTTAAACCGCGCAGTTGAACATTTTTGGCTATTCAAATAAGAATGTTGTTATTTCACTCCTTAGGTTGTAGTAACTATACTGCATGTACTGTTATAGTCTATATGCGAGTTCTAGCGTCCCAAACCACCATATGATGATGAAAGACGCCGTACTAGAGGGCTACGTAAATTTCTACCACGTGGAGGCATGTACTGTTATCGAAGAGAGTAAATGAGGGGGGTATCTTTCCATAAACATGTACTTTTTTGGAACCTACTAAACTTCGACAACAAAAGTGTGCATTGAGTGATGCGCTTTTGAAGAAATAAAACATCGACGTGCCTTTCTGCTACTTTGATGTACTTGTTTAGGTTGTTAAAGAGAGAGATAGAGAGAGATGGAGAAGGAAGGCATTGAGGTTAGCCAAGCTTGACTCAACTAGCTACCCTACACCTCGGGTGGAGGAATGGGGAAGAATAGAAAGAAAAGAGATAGAGAAGGAAGAAGGAAAGTAATTAAAAGATAAACAGTCAGCTTGAGACTACATGGCACGGACCCACGCTATTGTTTTACAAGCGCTCGTGAAGTCCGGTGGTCCTTACAGAGCACAAGAAAGCTTTCTTGGCTGTGCGCATATGTGAAAGCTTCGACCAATGTCCCAGGATCTTCTTTTTTGTAACTGGTCGTGTATCCAGCTGACAGAGCTTGGCTTCCATAAAACGTCGTTTAGCCTGGTATGCTGGGCAGTGACATAGAATGTGCTCAAGCGTATCCTCGCAGGCGCAAAGTATGCAAGCTTAACTGCTCGCCATTTCCAAGGAGACAAGAAACGCATTCGTAAATGCCACGCCCAACCTCATGCGACACAGCAAAGTTTCATCACGTTGTGGGAGCCCGGATAGGAAACGATGTTGCAAGTTTGGGCCGATCGAATACAGGCACCCATACAGACAGGAGAATCTGCGTATTCCATTCTAGGAGAGATATATGGCGAGTAAGCGATTTTAGTCACCTTGCAGCGTCCGTTCTCCAGAGTGGTATGGGCGTTCAATGGTGTTGGTCCTGAGCCGATCAAGCAGCTTCATCCACGTGGTCATTGCCGACAAATCCGCAATCACTCGGTAACCATTGAAATTCATTGTAACAATAATGATTGTTGGCCTAGTTGGTATTGCCTAATGACATGCTTTGGCCGCAAATATCATGTGTTCGTTCACTTTGTGTGTGTGTAATTTGTGGCCAAAGCATGTCAATAAAATTCAATTTCGTGACCATACACATACAGATTGAACTATTGCCATGGCGTTGGTAAGAAAAATTTAAAGAAGCTGTGACAGCAAAAATACGCTGATGGTTCTGCCATCTGTACTCATAAAAACAGTCTTTGTTCTGATGGTGAAGAAATTTGGAGTTGTCTTTGACAAACACTGGTCGGTATAAAGAGAACAAAATGTCATACCTCTTCCCCTCTGGGCCAGAGAGAGGTCAGCCAGAAGAAGGACGAGAAGGAGAGTGGTCAGGTAGATGAGCCGCATTTTGTGTCTGCGCCCTGCAAAAGTGGACGACAGTTGCTGCTTGCATCTTCTCTTTTCCGCCCTCTAGCTCTTGGCTTGATTTTGGGCGATAATTGCTAAGCTAGGACAAATGCTTTAATAAATCAGTCTGAAACACTGAAAAACTAAGTCTTCAGCTTATGACAACGCACCTCTCACTGTGTCGAAGTCGACTTTTGACAAAAACAGAAGCCATCTATCCAGATGGCGTAGACAATATACGTTTTAGTAAATAAAACCCACACTGATGTTGTTAGCATAACCCAATGGCGTTAAGTGGAAAACCGTGTTTCCTTCGTTTTCATTTCTTTACAGGTGTACGTAATTTGTGAGCTCATACAAGAAAAAATCATGAATGACCAGGAACGTAAGCTGGCTACTTATTGTAAACATGACACGCCAGAACAGATAACATCAAAAACTCGTACACAATTGAGCTGCGTCTTCAGTTGCAGAACGCAATAACGTAATTAGGCGATCAATGTGAATACGTGCGTCAATGCGTGATCTATGCATGCTGGCAGAGAAAGCAGACAAGGGCTGCGCTTGTCATTGCTTGCTTGTCGACTGTAGTTTCTACCGCTCAGCATACTAGAACTACATATGGCACCATGCACATTGCATTCTGAATTGCTAGCCTGGCCTTGGTTCTAGGTGGATACCTCAACCGTGCCGCAAGGAGACAATCTTCTGCGCTAATAACATTGTCTCTTTCAGACTATGGTGTAATGCCTACTGGAAGCACTGCTGTCAAGTGCCCATTTCGCCGCATTTCTTCTTTTTGCAATTTTGTCAAGAGTCCAGAACGCACCCGTAAGGCAACACGCGAACAAAAGCAGCTGCTTACTTAGTGGATGCTTTTAGAGGCGATTATGACGTCTGAGGGTTTGCACTTGTACAATATTATTCTGAATTATTATGACTCCTCCCACTGCGTGTAGTCTGTAGTCAATTTTTCCAAAGCAAACTGAAGCCATGCTGCAGATCTGTGGTAGTTCACCCTTTTGGCACGCAGAAAGCCTGGGTTCAATCATTGCTTGAGCCAAAGGTCTCTAATATGTATTTCATTTGCATACTTTTTGAATTCTTTGCTCATGAAAGCAGTGATTCCTTCTGGGGCTGCGCAAATACCACGAATGAATATTTGTCGTGACAATAGATAAAATACAAAAAGCTTACCTGTGGGATCGTTGTGAGAAGAAGAGCACCTTGTGGACGCCACAAAATGTTAAGCCATTCTGGCCTGTGGAGTATGAACAGTTAATGACTAAATCCAATGTTTGAAAGGAACGTATGATTGTCGAACGCCTGTAAAGCCGACTGCTGAGTAGTGTGAAACTTGCGTCTGGCGAAGTTCACGTGGCGGTAAACGACGTCAAGGAAATGCCACTCTTCTCCTGCACGCTTCTTTCTCCATGTGGGAAAGAAAGATGACTTCCGTTACGCCTTCCATACTCGCTAACCAAATAAGGAAAGTAAAACGACGCCCAAAAGGCGCAGTCTTTCAGATACGCCCTTCGGAACGTCACCCACACGCACGCACGCAAATGATTCCAGGAAAGAAGATGCCTCAGTTGCGAAACTTCGTGTAAAGCCCCGACGTCTACCCCGAAGCTTCTACTTGCAGCATTCTCCCGTTCAGTTTATTTTGCCTTGACCGCGTTTTCTATTTGTGCATAATGAAACAAGGTCCCGCCTTAGACGTTAATGGTCAAGGACTCGCGGGTGCACGTAGCTCTCGAGCAAAGAAAGTTCCTTCCACCGCTCGGCATGGCTCGAAATGGCCCGCCAGGGCTTTTGCAACCTTCTATTTCAATGAATTTGTATCACTGTTGCAGTCGGAGTGGAGAACTTTGATTTTAGAGATGCTCCCCTAAATATTCCCTAAAAAACCTCATTCCGGATTCACCAGTGGATACATGTAAACGGTAATGAATAGAAGAACACATTTTATGTTGACAATAACACGTAGACAACGACGGCTCGCGGAGTAATTTTTGCATGTCCAAATAAATTTTGGTAATTCTGCCACAAATTTATTATCTAATATTGTGCCAAGCGGCTTGTCACTTGTGGGGTCTGAACCTACTACAGTCTATTTGTGCAATATTCATTATGTGACAGTGGTGGTCATCATCTTGGTACTTTGTCTCGGTTATATAGGCCAACGAAACGCTGCAAAGGTATAGGAATGACCACAAAGAAACGTTACGAAAATACCTGTACCTATCTTATGGTGAAGGCCTGAACAAAAAAGTTGACGAAATGGATCTCCCCGTGCTCTTGCCCTATATGTGCTCTTTAGGGCTGGTTCACACTAGTGACAAACATGCCTCGCCGTTTGACGTTATCAGGCAACCGTGCTTGGCTATTTTCTTCGCGCACGTCAGCCATTGTTTGCAGATCGAAGAATGGGCCTAAAACCCATTTTTGCGTTTTTCGCCGTTGGCCGGAGGGTGACGTAGCCAATCAGCTAGGGAGGAGTGACATGGCTGAGCCAAATCGTCTGCTTTCGCCTCTGCGCATTGTCCGCGTCTGCCGCGGGACACTTCGAGCTGCTTGCTTCTTGCTCCTCGGTTTTTAGGCTATGTCATACGTGTTGTACCAGACTACGTTCCAGCTGTGAATAAAGCATTTTAGCCTGTCCGCAATAAAAAAAAGCACAGAGCAACTCAAATTGACTCCTCCCAAAGCTGCTGTTTGGACAAGTGGTGCCAGCTATCCAGGATTAGCAACAGCTAACAAACGTGTAATATATGTCTTTCGAGATTTCGCAATGGTTGTTAAGCCTAAACATTAATTATCCATGTATGGCTCTCAAAAACGGTGCTGAATCGATTTGAGTATGTGTTGTTGAAGCTAAAGAACATAAATCTAAGGCGAATGGAAGCATCAATTCGTAGCTTACGAGCTACAGAGCAAACGATAGTAATTTGATAGATTGGAAGTGGTCGACAACTGCATTCGGAGGGGCAGCCATGTCTGTCAGAGGCTGAAATACTTCGCCGGCGAAGCTTGCTGTCTACTTTGAACAGCTGCCCCGCGGACGGCGGTGGTTGACGGTCTACGGCACGGTGTCGTCACGCCAGGCTTCGCGCTAGCGTAAACCGGCCCTTACACTGTTCGAGGCATTCTTTTCTTCATTTCGAAAACTCACCACCCACATTAATATAAAGCTATTCTTAAAGGGCCCTTTACCACCCCGCGTTCTAAGACGAGGGGTGGTTTTCTCCTCTCTTGTGCACAATCGATGCTTCCTCCGCGCCCCTTAGTACTTGAGAGCACGTGACAACACTAAATTCTTGAGCTGATTAGCAGGTTGAACTTCTCGGCTACACGATGCTACCGCCACTTGCGAAGAGCTGATTGTGCATGATGTCCCTGCGCGACATCTAAACACGGATGAGCGGCTGCACGGAAAAGCAGTGCAGGAGACAAGTCCCATTTGATACTTCGCGTATATAGACTAATTGAGAGCATGCACACTAAGAAGCCATAGGAAATCACAGGACTGCACAAGAAGGACAAGAAATATCAGGAAAGACAATTGCGCTTGTTATTTTTTGTAATTTAGGAGCCTCGCGAGTGGCTCTTCAAGTGCGGTTATGCATCATGACTCATGCGGTTGCAGTATTAAGTGTCCCAGTATGGACACAACTTTTGCAGTAGTTGCATATCTGAGGCCCCTTTCAAGCATCAAAGAAAATTTGATATTTATTGAGTCAGGTATTTATTTGCATATTTATTTATTAAATAAATATATATGGAGTGTTTTTGTGCCTACTGCAAGCGATTTGTGCATCTATTTATCCATCCACCTCGTCTGAGTGCTCTCATGATCACGCTCTTGACTTAGAGTAAGCCAAGAATTCAAAGAGTGAGATAATTTGGGGAATATTAATCGCTCATTATTACATGAATAATGTCACAATACCATCGCGTACGCCATCAAACCTTTCTGCCAGAGGATCGGCATATACCCAGGGTGAGTATGTGCCCCAGGTGATCGATAGTTTACATCTAGCCAGGCATAGAGAGAACAGACATAGGTAAGTTTAACGCGTAAGCGTTAAAAAAAAGCGGACATCGGCAGCGTTGACCCAACAAATGCAAAGATAAATGTGATGGTCCCAGCAGTAATTGAACTCCGGCATTCTGAGTTGCATTGAAGTATTCTACAGAGCAGCCATGCCAGGTTTCGAAAATACTTCTCAAATAGACCCTAATGTTCGTGAAACGTCCATTGTGGTGTCAGTGCTGGCTATCTAGAATTACAAACGTTACTTATATACAGTTATGGTACATTCATTTCGTTACGTTAACGTCAGTTGTAGTTAGGTGTCATCTGAAGTTCATTTATGTATCAGTGTCCAGGGGTACTATCATCGCGAGCACTGGTCCTTATCAGCTTACCGCTTCTGGTGCTGCTATTATCCATGTTGATTGTGCCATTGTCATGCAGTTTTATATACCTTGTTAAATTGGACATATGTCTCATATTTAACAACCACTACAGCCAACTACGCGTAGTATTCATAAACATACCCTACAAGAAATATTTGCCGAAAGAAACAGAAGCGTCTAAACAGAGTTTTTATTTTGCAGTGTTTCGGACTGGAATAGTCTCTCCAAGTTTGTGCGGCGGGCAGTTTTGATAGAGCTTTTGTACAACACCTAACATGTTGAATGTTGAATCGCTAGAATGGTTATATAAATTATACTGCAAGTATTGTATTGTAATGTCTTTCATTGTCTTTCATTCTTTTGTTTAAAACTCACTGTATAGCGAAAGTGATGCATTGCGTGTGGTGCTAGTGTTGTTAGCAACTATTACTGTACTCTTAGTTTTTATTTTGTAAAAACTCTGCCACCTGGGTCATGCTGGGCTGCACTATCGCGAAAAAAATAAAATTAATAAATTTGTGATTATTCGGCGTATGTCTGAGTGTGTTGGTACGTATTTTCAGCGCCACTTTGTAGCGTTTCGCTCAACTAATAAAGACAACACACTCTTCTTTCATATGCATGCTTCGCATAACATCATTTCAAAGTACGTGTGATACGCTGATATTTATTCATTTATTTATTTGTTTGTTTACATTTTCTTATACTGCAGCTGAAAATTGGCTATAGAAAGAGTGGAATCAAAAAATGTTTTAAAGACACATTACATGATCATAGTTGGTCACAACAATGCAATAGCAGTAAAAAAAATCCTCTAAATTCACGTATTCCCGGCTAAAGCAACAAACCACTGAATTATTTTAGAATAACGCTGTCCAAATACAAGTATGAACAGGATTAGTTTGTAACTTTGAGGTCCTGTTTTCTTTGTCTAAGAAACAAAAGGAGCCCTTATACGTAGAATTATTTTTTTCAGTCATAGCGAGGTCTGGCGGACTTCGTGCCTTCCGGAAATATGCAACGGAATTTCGCTCAGAAGCCAGCTCGTAATGAGATCATCAGGCCAGAAGTCAAAAATTGGGCTTCACAGCACTGCCGCTCCTAGCCCATATGTCGTCGAGCTTCGGACGCTTCTTTCGAAGGTCACAAGTTTGCTCCCTGGCGGTGGTAAGTTTTCTTTTCGTCCTTTTCATTTATTCACACTTAAACAATAAAAACTTCTGAAAACATACTTGGCATCAATAAATATCTGTTTTCATTTATTGTACCTAAAAACACTTACAGCATGATGTTATTTGACAAGTCTGGAAATGAAACGTGGCAACAAGATGAGCTCAGGCAGTAGAAATGGCGACGTTTCTGGAGTGGCATAAGATGAATGTTTGACAGGGAAGAAGCGGAGTTGTACGACACGCGCTACGGAATCAATAGTAATCACTTCACGAAATAAAATATAAGATTGACATATAATTGGGAGGTACTGATTTAAAACCTGTCGAGGGACGAACTAAAAATAAGTCAACGGAGGTTAGAAGAATTTCGCCAAACAGTGAGTCTTAAATTGATACAATTTCTAAAGCGCCAGTAACAAAGAAGACAACTAATCATGAAAAAATTCTCATAAACGATATACATGAAGGATCAAAAAGTCTCTTGGAATATATTTACAGAGATAATTGGCATAAATATTCTAACGAGGGTAAAAGACACGTGTGACATACAACGCGAACAGGCATCAATGATAGGCAAAACACTACGTTGTGAAAGTGTGCTGTAGAAAATCCTACGCATGTGGCAAAGGGACAAATGTTCCTTTGTTCAATGATAAGATCGAAGAGGGCATGCTTTATAAATATAATTAATTCTAAAGTGCAAAGCCTGAAAGTGATGTGTATAACTGATATATGAAGTGCTGCTTCTGAAATAAAAATTAGTTGCGAGTGTAGCGAGTGTCGTGTTTTCTTGTCCTCTTCGTCCCCGTGAATTTGCGCTACTACACCATATTGTTAAA